TTTCCGACCCGGACAATTTTAGGGGTCTACACTTATTGGTTGGGCTTAAGAGATAAACCAAAGACTCCTCTCTAACCCACTACCTATTTTTTCTAAATGTTTTTGAATTATATCAACAACTCAATTAAATAAGTCAGAAATGTAATTATTTCATTTAATTAATCAAAATATTATTTACATTATAGATTTATTTAATTAATTAACTAAGTCTATGATATAATTTTTATTAAAGGCAATTTATTTTATTTTACTTCTAAAATTTAGGATGTTACACGAAACATTATTAAAAATGGAAATTACATTTCTAAAAGAGAGAATGATGTGTGACTACCTCTCTTAACTTGAATAAATGAACAAAAAAATGAGATGTTTTCTAAACTCTAAACCATTGAACAAAAGACATATGAAATGTCGAACCCATAAAATTTAATCCTATGTTTTGATGATAATAATAGTTTTTACTTACATTTTAATAATTTGACCAAGTTGTCTTAAGTTGTGCAATGAGTTCACCATCCAATGAAGAAAATTAGATATAAATGTCCAATTCCCTTTTACTTGACGAGAAGTAAGTGTACATTGTTTTGTACATGTTCAAAGGGTTTTCCATTATTGTATCCAAATATCTTGTTAAATGAAAGTCTAAATGGTTCTTGAGAAATATTAATGAGATACAATAACTATTATCTAGGAACACATGTCTATCTAGTTTTACCATTTTAATAAACTTTAGACAAAAAATGAGCGCTTTTATTATATATATATATATATTGTGTTTCCAAATTGGACAAATCTTTGTTCGGCTCAGACTCAGACTTTTCCAAACTACTGTCTGGCAGTGTTTCAGACTCTGCAAGATCATTGCTGTGTAGAGCATCAGTACCAACTGGATCCTTTTTCACATCAGGAGTCACAGCCTCTTTGTCTTCTTCGAGGGTATCAACCATCCTGCTTCACACCTGGAAGAAAAAGATACTAATTATTAATAGTTAACAGTGAATTACAATCAAGAAACGTTTTCCAGATACACATATTATGGATAAAGTACTACAGATCAGAAGAAAACAGTCATATGTTTATTGCATCAGGTATAAATGCAAAATACACAGGATTCAGACCAACACAAACATTTCAATTACATTAGTCCATTAAGCCTGGCACTGTCAACATATCCAAATAATAATTGGGCCAACAAATGAGTTGGGTAGGCCCAAGCTCAATCAAAATAAGAACATCTGAAATATTCTATACCACTCAAACATTACCATTTGTAAATTTTACATTTCATGAATAAAATATTACCCAACTATTAAAAACTATTTGCTTATCTTTTCTCCCTCTTTTCTATGTTATTTTATTTTTAAAACATTAAAACATTAAAACATTAAAACATTAAAACATTAAAACATTAAAACATTAAAACATTAAAACATTTTTCATATATTATAATAACATTTATAAGTATAGAGATCTCCCTAAAGGGAACCCAGACTTGTACATTATTATAGTGTTGTCCTTTCACTATTCCTTATGAGGAACAGCTAAAGCGAATTGCCTGAGTTGTAATTCACTAACAACGAAAATCATACTAAACGATTCGTAGAAGCACTATCAACAGAACTCACATGAAAATTACTATACATGTTCTTCAATAATTTAATGGATAGAACAGAAAGTACAAATTAAAATAAATAAATAAAACAAGAAATTACATCAATAGACGCAACACAGGGATCGATA